TTACAACACCATAAATCATTATCGATTTGATAATGAAATCAGGTTTTATGATATTGAGCCAGCAAAAACTACTTAACATATGCTAAATAGTATACATGTATTTTACTATTTAAAGGTATTTCATATTCAAAATAAAATTGGACCTGCCTAGAAAACAATTTAGCAACTTCATTATCTTAAATAAATTTTGCTAAAATATATGAACTTTTCTGATATTTTGGTGTCATTCTTGATCCGAATATTTCAGATCTAATCTGAATACGTCCAAATTGATTTATAAGTGGATGAACAGTTGTTGATAGACCAAGTTTGCTAATAGGAACAAAAGTTGATTTATAACAATTATTGTAATAATCGACTAATAAATAGTAAATATCATCAGGCATGACTACTTGTATATTTTCTAAATTCATTATCTTACTAGAGAAATCCTTAGTACTAGTATTTATTTTGCTCTCTAATATATACATTATTAAAAATTGACACAATTCAGCAGTTTCAAAATTATTATTCATTACCAAACTTCTAACAGTAGAACATGGAGTAAGTAATTGAAGTGCTATTAATAATTCACTATGACCTGAATTAGTAATTAAATATTCTAATTGCCAGGTTTGCATCATAATTTTTAGTAGCTTTGCTTCTATCTGGCGCTTACTATTCTTATATAATCCTAAAACACCATTCATTCTTTCGAATAAATAATACCAATATAAATACAAAAGACTATAATCTAAATAACATTCAACTATATGAAGTAACAAATGAATATTAGGTATTATTGCTTCTGATCTATAATGTTCTTCAATTAGTTGAGCAACTATTTGCAATCAATAATTTGCCTCATTTAATATATTTTTATCAATAATACATGATATAAGTAAAGTACAAGCCCTAACAAAATTTGCTAAAATTTTTCAATCAAAACCTTTTAAAAGATCCCACATTATTGCCGTTGCATAGTATAAAATAAAAGATTTTTACTGATCTGTAGTAAATCCTGAAAATTTATCTCCGGTTGCAATTTTATTAAGTATTCTTCCTAAATCTATAGGTAATTGTAATTTTTTTGTATGATCAGCTATTATTCAAAGATTAGATTTAGAAATTTTTTCTTTATCGATCCAAAGCTTCTTTATAATCTACTGTGTAATCTCAAAAAACAGACAATACATAGAATTAACAATCAAATGTCTAATTGGATTATGATATAGCAATTGAAGAAGCTCTGTCCATCTAACATATATATTAGAAACATAGTTTTTTTTATTGTGTCTCTGTTGTATATTGCAACCATGCTCGAGCATTCTTTATATGTTCGTGTAAATCATGTAATTGAAGCTGATTTTTTGATTTTTTATAATCATTTTTATCTTTATCTTTTTTTTTTATTTTTTTTTTTTATTTTTTTATCTGTTTTAGATATTTGTTCATAATATCGGTGATATCCGGATAATGCTAATATATGTCTGCATAGCTTT